ACCTACTGCCTCTCTGAGAATGTCCTGACCGAATACTTTCACCTTTATCTTACATTAGCACCTTACTGTAATTCTTAAACTGTGATTAATCTTAAATATGACTAATAGAAATAAAGTCGCTTCAAAAATAATTTGAACTTGGATTGTTTTCCTCAAACCACAGTTCCAATTAACCTCTATACCTGTATTAACCAACAGATAACAAGAGCCACAAATGTTTTTAACTGCCTTCCTCTACCTCCACTGAAAAATATTATCAGATCCCAACTACAAAAATCGGTACTACTGCTAGAGGGCAGCGAAGACGTAGCATTTTTGGTACCTCTTTGCTGCCATCTACTGGTGGCCTCATTCTTGAAGCTCAGACCTGGTAAGCCTTGGTATTGAAAGGAGGGATGAGGGTATGAGCCCCCGACTCACTGTAACTCTTTCCCATCGGGTTAGAATACAGTTCTGCATAATATGCATTGCATCTATTATTTTATTGTTATTCCTGTAGGGCTCTAGGTATGTTCCACATCCCCATGTAGTCCTTCTCCTTATAAAAAGTGAGACATCCATTTTTCCTCTCAGTCAGTCCATTATCGTCCTGTTTTCCTAATGCAAATATAAGAGTTTGAGATCATGCTTTGCCCAGGCCCAGCCAGCTCAGTGACTAGAAACCAGATTTTGCTTTTCTGAAGCCAGCTTCTTCAGCTAATCTGGTGGTAGGTCAAGTGATTCATAATTCAGCTTTTCAGGAATTCATTATCTCACGTCTACACAATAAATTGAAACATAAAGAGGAGACACTTCAGAGTGTATAAAATGCTAATGGGAAAACATCCAGGAACACTAACTGATGGTTTGGAAAAGGAGCTATTAATGAATTTGTGTAAACATCGCGATAGACGCTCATATATAATCAAGTCCATACTATTTAAATGCACCATTTATAAAAGTACACGAGTTAAGGCTCCTTTTAAAGCAGAGACAGAGGTGGCTAGACAGAAAGAGGCAGCCTTTTTTCAGTGCTGTTAAGCACTGCTTAGTATCACCACAGCCCTTTCAAAACCTAACAAATAGCAGCCGATTAAGCTTTCGCAGCTTTCAGTAGTTTTACAAAAAATATCCTCTGGCAGCTGTGACAAGATAATGAAGGCAAAGCAAAGTTACCTAGGTGTAAGCCCCACTGAATACAGTGAGATTTATATCCAAGAAAACATATATGGGACTAGGTTGCTAGGGTGTTATTCTACCTTTTAGAACATTCAGTCATGGGGAAAGTTTCAGAGCCAAAGTAGAGGAAGACCCTTCTCTAGAACCAATGCTGAACCAATCAATGATGTTTAGCTGAATCTGGGTTCAAATCTCAGAGGGGATGCTGTGGCCCAAATGTGCACCCAGATGCCTTCCTTGGTGCCTCTCAGAGTCCCTGCCCCATATGACTTTTTAAAGATGACTTTTATTTTTTTAAATTAATGGGAAGTTGGTATGCTGCTTAATAAAAGCAAGAGCTCTGTCCTAAGAATTATTTCTACTTTTGACCCTCATTCAACCCTATCAACATTCCTAGAAAATAGAATTAAAAGCTAGCTATAACACAATGTTTTGTTTATAGTTGTATCCACCTACCCAGAAAAAAGGAAAAGTTAGGATGAAGTGATAAGGAGAGCATTCTCAGGGAGGCAGAAGGAATGGCTGCGAGGAATCTCACTACTTTGCCTCCAGTGGATTACATTTTGTGGCCTGCAATCACTTTGAGAACACTCAAAGCCCATTTCTCATGACAACAATTTAGCAAGGAACCGTATGACACACTCAAAAATTCCAATGGGGCCTATCAGTCCCCAAACATAGACTAACCCTGCTTTATGTTACCAACTGGTGTCCTACTGCTTGTGCAAGTCTCTTTCAAATGAAAAGACACCTCATATACAGTGCAATATTGGCCCCACATAACAACAATTAAAACGTAACTTATCTACAGTTGGAGTGAAACATTCAACACTGCCTTCAGTTGGAAGAGAGAGTTATGTGCTATATTCCTTTTGAATTCAAGAGAGCAAAACACAAGGTTTAAGTTCACAGAAAGATGACAAAGCAGTCACATCACTATCGTTCTCCTATTCTACTCTAAGAACAACAGTCCTAGAATTACCATTCTAGTTTCACTAGTTGCATCAGTTGTATTCACAGATGGTGGCATTATGAAAACCTTTAGTAACAGTCAGCATGTTGCAATGTTTAGAGCAGTGTTTCTCAACCTTAATAACTTTAAGATGTCTGACCTTCAACTCCCAGAAACCCCCAGCCAGCGTGCTGGTGGGGAATTATGGGAGTTGAAGCCCAGACATCTTAAAGTTGCCAAGGTGAGAAACACTGGCTTAGAGCAACCTTCTTCAATCTAGTGCTCCCTGGATGTGTTGGAATTACAAGTCCCAGAATCTCCAGCCAGGCCAGACTTACTGGGAATACTGCAAATGCTTGGAAGATCCCTCATATGAGAGGGTTGGGCATTAGGCTTGGACAACAAAACCCTGAGTTCAACTCTCTACTAGGCCATGAAGCTCACTGTGTGATCCTGGACCAGTTGCTGCCTCTTCGCTCAACTTGCCACACAAGACGGATGTTAAGGTAAAGAGGAGGGTGGGCAAGGAAAACATCGCCATGAGCTTTCTCAAGAAAAGAAGATAAATGATAATCAAGAAGACAGAAAACTATTCATTAGACCCTAACAAAGGGCTCAGAATATTATCATCATTGAAGGAATGTTTTCTTCTACCACCATTATATCAGCAGTTCAAGATCAAATTTATTTTTAACAAAACAGGGATTTTGTTTAGATTTAAAGAATGTATGGAAAAGTCCTATTAAGAGTAACCACCTTTATAAAGAGCTAGGAGAAGGAAGATCTCTGGAACTTTGAAACTTGAAAATGATATTTAAACTTTTTTAAAAAAGCAAACAAATAGCTGAAGATAGAAGATGACCACATACTGAAGGAAAGGAAACAATCAGAACAGGGATATCTTCAGATGCTGTTCGTTTATTCAGGCAGGTTTTTTTTTAAAGCTAGGGTCTGCAAAAGTGAAGCAACTGGTGCTGTCTGCTCACATGGACTTCAGAAATTATGGGATTTATTTCTCAGATTCATATAGCAATGCTGCGGAATTGGGGCTATAGCTACTTATTTACTGTAAGGAACAGAACAGCAGGAGCTAGGGATTTGAACCAAAAGTGATCAAATCATGTAAAACAGATTAAATGATCAATCTTCCATCATTGGAAGTTGATGGCACTAGTAGAGAAAATAGGGAAGAGAGAACATAATGGATTCTCTGCCAGAGTTCTGTTGGCTTTGGCAAAGGCACATTAGCAGCTTACACTGGTACATCTCTCAACTGCTTATAAGGGAGGAGTGACTTGGCTGTATTTGTGTAACCCCATTTGATCAGGTTTGGGTGTTTCCAGTTTCTGTCACCAGCAGGAAGGACAAGCAAAACACAAGATGGTTGCTCCAACTCCAGAGATCAGGATGGCACATCTTTAAAGGCTATATAATGTTTTGCTCTTTGGTCAGAAAACACGCAAACTTGTGATGACACTTCAGAGCTGAGGGGGTGGGGAGGAGGAAGCATCTTCCCACAAATCCTTTGGGGCTGATCCATTATCAATGCCCCCTGAAAAGAAGGAAAAGGAATTCTCTGCAAGGGAAGAAGAGAAAGAGAGAGGGAAAAAACAGGAGAGAGGATTGATTCTCCCTTTCCTTCCCCTTCCCCTTCCCCCCTTCCTTCCCTCCTTCCTTCCTGGGGGTCTAATGCTGCCCTTCATGGTCTACCATAGGGGAAAGCAGAGAACCAGTTTTTCACATTTAAAACCAGAATGATCTAGATTATTGCTCTGTGGTTGCTAGCATTATTTGTTCAACTTAGAACCAGAAAGAAGTTCAAATTCTGCATTTATGCAAAGCTGAATTCTGTACTCAGAAAATTACGTAAAACAGTTAAACTGATCTGCACAGCTTTTCTGTCTTTCAAGAAAACTGAAAACAGAATTGATTTAAATGTTTTTATCCTTCATTAGGATTCCAACAGTGAACTACCGAAAAGTTTAAAACTGTTCCTCACTTTCTCACTTAGGGAAGCAATATTTATGATTTCACTGATCACAAAACTCCTGTTCTTCCTCTAAGAAAAAAAATGTGCATTTCCCCCTCATTATGGCCTTTTTATTTCATTTCATTTCTGGCCTGCTTTTGCTCTGGTAACTCATTAATTTTATCCTTAAAGTAATGTGAAAACAAAGAAGACTGAAGACTTTTTAGGCTCAGAGGAATGTTGAGTATCATTTTTGTTTTGTTTTCTACAATCTGTGGCTATAGCAAAATATCTGCTATCAACTTTAGGAGCTGCAAAAAACTGCTGGGCTATTTCCATAATTAGGGACCTTAGTTAGTTCTTTCTCTACATTCCTCTCCTTTCAGTTGCTTAGTGTTTGATGGGATGGGATGGGATGGGATGGGATGGGATGGGATGGGATGGGATGGAACAGGGTTCTTACTGGAGAAGCCACAGAATACAATACAATGAGGACAAAAGGGCAGAAGAAAATGAACACCTGGAGGCCAGATGTTTCTCTCTGAAATCTCAGAAGCAAACAGCTGTGTCAGTAGGAAAAGAACGAACAAAAGAAATGACTGCCAATTTACTCACTGCTTCCTACGCTTATCACTGTGTCCAAACCAAGTTAAATCCAGCCTTAACCAGGAATTCCCTGGATAATTTTTCGTTATGGGCTGACGGAAAGTATTTGCCATTCCTTCATACTAATCTGTTGGTAAAAGATAGTTTAAGGCTGTTTTTGTAAAGGGGGACACTTTGACCAGTGAGAAAACTCAACAGAGACTTAGTGAACTGTGATCAAATGTATGGCTTCAGAACATGGGACTAGACAAAGATCCCAATAGCCTCAAATCTCACTTAGTACATCAGATTCACATACCTAGGTCTGCATCTGTGCTTTTTTTCATATCTTTTTGGAGCTTCTTAGTCTGATCTTCCAACCTAAAAATAAAAACATAGTGTTGATTTTGTTTTAAAAGGTATATAATTAAAGCTCTCTCATGACAAGACAATCTGCAAATGACAAGAAAGGAGAAACGGGAGAAACGAGAAGACAGTTGCTAGACTTATTTTGGGACATACAGGAGCTAACAGAGACGACTAGAAGAGGAGACATAGAGGGAATATATATTCCATGGTCACTATGATTAGGAAGAATCACTTGGAGATGAGCAGACATGGAAGCTTTAGTAAACAAGAGCTCCACTCTTTGTAACCACCAATTTGTCATGAAGGACTGACACTGCTATGTACCGTTAGCCCAGGTGGGCTAACACACTTGGGCCAGAATTGTTACTTGGTATCTGCACAGATGGTGACTGTGACTGCATAGTTGCACCCATTCCTTTTTAACCTTCATTGCACATGCAATGAACTACAGTAAAAACAGGCAATAGTTTGATCCCCCCATGGATGCCCCGCTGCTGTAGATTTATTCTGCACATGCTTTGCAAAGAATCATACGTAACTCCCAAAGCAACTGTAATATTTAATGTGACAGAAGAGGAAAAGTATTACATACCTGAGGAGTAATTATTTTAATTTCATTGTAATATAAATCAGTTCAATCTTTTTCCTGGCTCTGCTTGCTTCCTTGCTTTTTAATTTATAGCATTTCTACATCTCCACAATTACATCTCTAGGTGACTTACAATACAATAATAATAATAATAGTAATAATAATACAACACCCATAAGCATCATACTAATTCTAAACTTATCAGTAAAATTGAAAGCAGCCCACTACCAACTGGATAGAAAGCAAACTGTAGAAATTGCTTTCCAAAGGCTTGTTAGAAAAGCTGTATTTTCAACACATTCCAACAGGGGTTTAAAGCAGAGGTGTGGAGAGTGGGAGAATATTCCCAAGGCCCAGGACATCAACAGAGACACTGCTTTGAGGCTGATGCCTCCTTCATCTCCTGAACTGAGGAAACCTAAAGGATCTCCTCCCAAGCAGAATGGATAGGTTGGCCAGACTCAACTTGGAGAAGACATCCCCACAGGTCTCCTGGGCCCATACCCTATTGGGCTTCATAGGTCAAAACCAACACCTTGTATTTGGAAGCCTACTAGAAGCCAGTGCAGAGTGTTGTGTTATACAGTATGGCTGAATTGGTTTAATGCATGTAGGCTCCTGCATTTTGCACCAATCGCGGTTTCTGGGTAATCTCCAAAGCAGCATTGTTCAGGAGTGTGACTCCTAGAGACTGAGATCGTTCTCTTTTCTCCCCTTCTCTTCCCTTTGCAACTTCTGCTCTCTTAACTACCTACGAATAGAAACATCAAACCACCTAGATCAGATCAAAAGATCTACAGAACACACTAACAAGCTTTTTTTTGTTTCAGGCACAACCCCTGCAAAAAACCCCAAAGAATCATGAGATTTTGGTGGATTTAAGCCTTTTTTAAAGATTTCATCGGAAAAAAAAATGATTGGGGAGAGACAATTCTTAAGGTTCAGAAAACACTACACTTCCTTATATTGTCCAGTTACCCAGGTAGCACTGAAAAGCTGATCAAGAAGCAGGAAGGCAAATGTCTGTTCCCAGGATGCTCCCCAGAAGCTTTCAGAATGGAAATCAGGTGGGAGCACAAATGGAATTCAATATGCAGGAGGCGAGCAGGACAAGAAAATAACTGTATGTAATCTAAATGGTTGCAGTTTCTATCACTATTGTATAGCTTTAACAAAAATATGTTTTCTCTGTGTAGCTCTAATATCCATCTCTGCCAAGACTCCAGTCTTTGTTCATTTCTATACATTGTATAAAAATGTTCTTCGCACATCTACTACCACATAATTAAATAGATAAATCAATTAGTGTATAATTAAATAATTAAATTAAACCAATATGGAGTTGAGAGGCCTCTGAACATTTTCCTTCTGTGGAAACAAAAATTAGTATTTTCCAAGTGAGGAGTTAATGATGTTGCACAAACGCCCCTTAGGAGAGAGGTCCACACAGAATTCCGGCCAGACCAAGCCAGAAGCAGGACCTTTGTCAAACACTGGAGAAACAAGAGAATTCCTAGAGCTTTTCTCTTCAAAGACTGTTGGCAAACTGGCCAATAAGGTGCCAAGAGTAGAAAGAATGGCATTGTAGGTCCATTATATCTTGGAGACTGTTGACATTATACCAGTAAATAATGATAGGTTGATTTGCTTTGGGGAAAGAACAGCCCAGATAAACATATATATCCCTTGTATCTCACACACAGAACACTGCAATGGTATCATATATAATTATTAGGATCTGGAAAGACTGGTGGGAGATGGCACCTCCCTCAGTCATAGTTTGACTCTTTCCCACATTTTCCTTTGTGTTGTTCAAATACAAGACAGACATGGGAAACAATGGCTACCAAGTAGTTGCAAAACAAACCAGATCCTGGAATGAAGGACTGAGATTAAATCAAGATTATCTATTCAGAAGTAGCAATTTATGAAGCCAGGATGAGACCTGGATCAAGAAGACAATTCCAGAAAGACCAGTTAAGTGCAGATGACCCTTCAAAAGGAACAAGCCAGCCTGGAGTCTAACAGTTCAGATAAAAGTTCCAGCTGTTTCATATTACAAAATGCCTATATGGAAGATACTTGCTTTAGGTAGGCAGTAACATGGCATATGTACTGGATCATGTGCAGCTAATTATAAAGCACAATATGGACATGTTCCATAGAAATGGCGACAAACTGTAGGAGGAGCAGCAGTGACACAGACGTTAAAGGCAGTACGCCCTTCACAGAAATGTTGTCGTTTGCAAAAAGGTCTTAAGGACCGAGAAGTACAGGAACAACTCTACCCTTTTAGCCTTCGGGAAGGCTGTGAAGACCTGGCTCTTTCCCCAAGCATTGGGCTAAGATGGGTGTTGAGCTGTGAGGATATTTACTCTGGCGCCTGGGGGAAGGGTACCTTTGTTTTTAACCATGCTTTATGGATTGTTGTGAGCCGCCTAGAGTCATTGTACAAGATAGGTGGCCATATAAGTCCTGTAAATAAATAAATAAATCAAGCAAGCAAGCATTGGTGAGAAGATCATCAGCTCTGGAGGTGAATGTGTCATCTAGGTTTCTCTGTGTAGCCCATTTCCATCATACCTAGCCTTTATAGGAACGATAAAACATTAAGAACTGGTGCTTAAGTTATCTAGTTTCCTCTGGTATCATGTCATTTTCGATTACAGGCAATTTTTTATTATTCTGTAAACTGCTCTGAGAGCCTGTCAGTCTGAAAAAGGAACATAAATGCAAGGGAGAAAGGAACGTAAGGAGAAAAGAGCCAAGAAAGAACACCCACCCAAATAAAATAGCTAAGAATACTTACTGCTGAAGCTTTCCATATTCCCGTTCAAAATCTCTCTCAACCTATGAAAGGAAAAAGAATCTAAATCAGCTAAAAATCCAGGGCTGTAATTAAAAACAAGAATTCTACCCAATGCGGTCAGGACTTCTTTTTCCAACTGAAAGAACAGGCTAGGCTACATTCAGGGGCTCTCCAGATGCTGGGCCTCAATTCCCACCATGCCCCACTGTTGCATAATGTTGGTTGGACTTGGACTTCAGCATCTAAATGGCCATGTGTTACCTATGCCTGGAACAGATATCATATTGTAATCTTAATGTACTTCAAGCTTTGGACATACTAGAGAGTTAACAGAATCAGGGACAAAGCCAGCTTTGCAATGAGCTGCATTTACTGTATAACTCAGAAGCTCATTTACACCAAACTTGCCCCAAATATCAAGAGCTGTGTTAATCCCTCTCTTCTGACTTAGAAGCTATTTAACATTTAAGTTGGAATGGTTAGGAAGTTGCACACAAATCCAAGAGCTTTGGCAACCCAGCAGGGTCCATCATCTTCACTTTTCTTGGGCTGCTAGGGCCAAAGGAAGTAGCGGTGCCTGGTTTCTGAACAGATGAGAACAATGGCCAATTAGATAGCTGGAGATACCTTGTTACCAACTACGGGCAATCATGCATCTACTTTTCTGTTTGCAAGGCTTCATTATAACTTAACAGCTGAAATATGAAGATGCTCTTCCTGAATGTATTTGGTAGAGATCCTTACCCTTCTAGACAGTTGTTCCTATTCACCCTACAAACAAGAATCTATCCCTATTTGATCCACTTGATAAGAACATCTTTGTCCTAGCCAAGACCTAGTCAAAAAGTTCAACCTTTTGTCCTTGAAACTGAAGTCTGAATCTTCCCAGGAAGACTGGAGATGAATGTAATATTATCCATGATGCTTAAGGCAGCATATCTAACTATGATAATTGTGATCACTTTGATCTATATTGCTCTCATTTTTGTTTGCATATACTTCCATACTCTTGTTTGCCTACAGAAGAAGAATCAAAAGAATGACTAATAAAGCCTTTAGTAATTTGTAACATTTAGTCTGTTCCAGCGTTCTAAGCTCATCTTGATTAAACTGCTAGAAGCATCATACTGTCAAGACTTGCTCATACTGAAATGCAGTTTTGTTTGCTTCAATATTTCTCTGCTTGGGTGTTCTCTTCCCATAAAAAGGTGTAAAAGGAAAGGGTTCAGCCAGGTCTGCAGAAAGGTGAGGGGACAATTTCTTGACTTTCTTCCACTAGGTCTCAGAGAATATGTTTCATTTCACAACAATCCCATGAATCAGATCAAACTGGGAGCATGATTTTTCCTATCTTTTGGTCATCTAATCCAGAGCAAAGAACATTGGTATGAGCAGGGAATGACCAATCCATCTTTAGATTTGCCCTTTTCAGATTACTGCCATAGAGCCACCAAACGGATGAGGCCTCCAGGATGAAAATGATTTCCCACATGTGTCTACACAGATAGATCTCTGAACCCTGTCTGCCTATTCTTTTTGTTTCTTCCCACTTTCATCTCCATCTTTAAGGTGATTCCATGTGCTCAGCCAATTTCAAAGTTTGCCAACCACACCTCAAAGATAATATCTGTTGAATAATATTTATGTACTATTTCCAAGAACACTTCCATTACTGATTTACTCCAAGCCTGCGATCATTAAGTTTCCAATCCTAAAGGCATGATCTCAAATTATTATTATTATTATTATTATTATTATTATTATTATTATTATTATTATTATT